GAGTAAGTAAGAACTCTGGTGCACCCGTTTCGGAGTTTATTTGCAAAATTTATTAATTTATAAGTATAGATTCTATTTAATAAGAAAATGGATATGTATTACTATCAACGTTCTATCTCAAGATGTTGCATCAACAACTAAACTTTTGAAAATATAAAATTAGCAATTCAAAGAGTATTTTAATTAACTTGAAAAGCAGTCAATATATTTGTATCATTTTCAATCCAAATTGAATTAAAATATTCATGCTAACGATGTTTTGTGTCAAACCGCTGAATTTTTTAAAATAGCTCATTTATTTATTTTTTTTTTTCACTGAATACCAAACAGTTGCCGTGCATTACAAATCATTACAGTAACAATTAACCCTAAATGACAATCTCATTTGGGGATCCAGAAATTCCGGATATGGAAAGCAACTAAAAGATATATTCTTTTTAAAAGAATGAAATGGGCAGTAACTAAAATCAATGAATATCAAGGATCAATGAATGATAATACATGAAAAAAGTAAACTTTCCAAACTTAAAAAAAAAAGAAAAAAAAAAACAAAACAAAAAACAAAACTAAAAATCCTATTTCCTGCGAGGGGGAGGGGTACTTAACGTTTTAGTATATATATATATATATATTTAATTTTTCTTTCAAATGCTAGAATTTGGTTTTGTTTGACTGTACAGCACACAAATTGGGGGGAAGGGGGGGGGGGGGCAGGCAGGATCGACATCAAAATTTACATATGAAAACAACACCAAAATACTATTCTTAGAAAAAAGGGACACCCCCGGCCCCTCCGCATACTACGGGTCTGAAATATAATTATTATTCGAAATTAAATGCAGATAACATATCTAGCCAGACAGTTAATTTTTTATACATATTAAAACAAAAAGAGAGAGTACATGTACATGTAAATTAATGGAATATAAAATATTTTTTTTTTATAATCCGGAGGAAAAGATCCCTGTAATAAGCCACATTTCCCTAATAAGCGTCACCTAAAATGATTTATAAAGGGTGTTGCTAAAACGCGGAACGGAAAACTGAACCGAAAGCGGAACGGAACGGAAAACGAAAAATTTGTTTTTCACTATGCACAGGAATAATTCAGACATAGGAAGCACTATTCCTTATCTAATATATGTAGTTCATATCTAATTAAAAGTTATCGTAACAATGTGATTTATTCATGATTTTCCCCCTCAAAACATGTGGCATATACATGAAATGGTCAATAAATGCAACATTATAACGCTAGATGGTACAATGTACAGGTAGGCGAACACGAGTTATCGTTCATAGAACGAGTTATCGTTCATTATGTAGTTAAATCTATTCACTCGTACGTGGAATATTCGACATGTGTTAAAATAAATGTATACGGAAATAAATGAAATATTCTTAATTAATATTAATATTCACAGGTAATTTACATTTATTTCACTAGCAATTTACAATTGATAATTATATATTAAGTCGTACAGGTAAAAGTAGAAACACTAATCCATATAAACAATGTATCCATTTGAATTAATCATCAAATATGGATAAATTGATGACAAGCGTGGATTTATTCAAATTTCAAATTCAAAATAAAATTCGTTGAACTATATTATTTTTTTTTTCAATATTCATTTGTATTTCGATTGATGCAATGTTTATGTGTATTGGGAATAGAAAATCCGGGGGGGGGGGGGTGTTATTATCCCCTACAAACAGGCACGTATCGTTACAAATGAACATTTAAAAAAACATGTCTAGAGGCTGCTTTAAGATCCCGCCCCCATTTTTCCAGCCAATCCAACCCTGATGACCTATGCTCGGCATTTAGGTCCATTGAGCAGTGAGGGATCTTTTTCGTGCCAGCACCTAGTGGGATACAGGACCTCGGTTTATATGGTCTCATCCAAAGGACCGGTCTCCACGTCCCGCAGTGGACCAATTCGAACCCGCGACGTAAGGATCAACTCCTTACTCCGCGACTCTAGAGCAGACGCTCTTACAACGCCCCATGCAGGCGACGATTCCATAATTGAAAGATGGATTTTTTTTTAAATCGACTCAGTTGTAAGATAGAAATTACTGTAGTATTATTATTTTTTATTTTAATAATATACTCATACCTGAACTACTACTGAGAAATATGCCTATATTAGTAAAGAAACATTTTCTATCTTCTTTTGATTTCAAAAGTTCTTTTTTATTTTATTTTACCTGAATGTCTTATTTAGCGCCAAGATTTTATTTTCACACAAAACTCACGGTTTACCGAGGTATATCCGAACGCGATACAGCAGGACATTTGTTAATCTATCAACTTATATTCCTCGTCATTTGCTACTCCCAATTTTTCTAGCTCATGTACATTTCACACTAGGTGATTTCGAGCTATTTTTTTCCTGGAAAGTACAAATATATTTATTTCTAAACAATGCACCTAATTTCTCTACCTATTTTTGACAGGTATCAGATTAATGTTAGACATTTGTTTGTTTGTTTAACGCCCCTTCGAGATTGTTCACTCATATTGAGACACCAGCATTTACCGGTGGAGGGCTGCAAATTTAGACCTGAACTTGGCACTCAGGACCTTTTTAGCAGTGAGGGATTTTTTTCTTCTACCTCGACTCGGGACTTCTGTTTATACCGTATCGTCCGAAGAACCAATCTCTACGTCCCGTGAAGTGAATGGAACTCGGGCGACAATTTAAACTGATGTTATAGATGTCATTATCCCAAAATCCCTGAATTATGTATCATCTGAGAGTACCTCATAAAATACGCTTAACCTACATCGCACAAACATAGGGATACTGTCTTGATCCCAGATGGTTTTCTCCAAGCTATCCGTACCTTTAAACCAGCTAAAAACTAGCATAATATACACTATTCACCTATATATTTTGGACAGTCCCAGATTAATTAACATTGCAAGTAGTGGAGTGGGCGCATTTAGATTGCCATTCAAATTTCGCGCCAATGACGTTATCAAACTTTTGACCAATCAGAAGGCAGCATTTGAATTTTGGTCACGTGACCCTACATTGGAAGGCGGGAAAACCAGAATTTTAAATCTCCTATGTTTAGCCCTGGGGTCAAGGGCAAAAATTAAAAAAGTTACTCGAAGGGTAGGGTGCGACATATCAAAGGAAAGGTCTTGACGAAGAGTGGTCATCCCAGGGGTGGTCCGGGGTCATTAAGTGCAGAATCAAAAAGTTACCCAAAAGGTATCGTGTGACATATCAAATGGAAGGTCTCAACGAGTAGAGTTAAGACTGGGGGAGGGGGGACCGGAGTCATGAAGTACAAAATGAAACACGTTACCAGAATAGTATCATGTGACATATCAATTGGATTTTTTCCAAGAGTAGAGTGCGGTCCTGGGGTAGTCAACCCACCCACCCCCCTCCTCAACTATTTGTTCCAGCAACGATTAAATACCACCTCATTAATAAATTAACAATTGTAAATAATAGAACCGCACACTATACATAAAGGGGATTTTTGTAGCCCTTACTGGGAGTTTTTCGTGACGTAAACAGGGAAATTACCTTCGTCTTCGTACACCAAGGTGACTAAAGATTCTATTGAAAATTCATTTGAATAGAGATTTACTCGACCGAAATACTACGAGGTAGAGACATGTCTATCTCGACCTCGCAACGGAGGTATTCAAGTAGAAACATGTCTCAATGAACTTGGGCATTTAAATGCTTGTATTTAATCAGTAAAAAGAAGGATACACCATAGGTTTATTTAAAGGTTTATTTAGAGATAGACACATTCAATTGAAAAAAAACTACGGGTAAGAACATGTATATATATATATATCTACACACCGTGACCAAAAATAACGTGTAGAAACATGTCTCAATGCATTTAAATGTCTGGTGTATTCACACATCGTAGATTGAAAGTCTATTATCCCCAACCAGTTGTAACAATACTGGTACAACCATGCGTAAAAGTACATTGATAAGAAAGGGAAGTGAAATACAGTTGTGAAATTTTGTTATATAAACCCCCTCCCTATAATTACACCAAATATAAAGCGAATGTGATTAATTAAAAGTAGCCAAAGCTTTTCCTTTACGCTTGGATGGTGCGTCAATCATTTATTTATAGATATACATGTCTCAACACGTACAGTCCATTTTGATCTTTCATCCGTCTTAAAGTAAGTTTTTATAAGGGGTAATCAATAGCTAATCTCTCAAGTGAGACGGTCGCAAGGTTCGGTGTGACCTAGATTTTTACAGGGGGAATATACAATAGCTAATCTCTCAATAGAGATACAGATGACCGATTTTTATAAAAGAAACGACGACAAACGATTATCAAGAATAAAACTATTGATGGAGACAATCAAAGAGGGTGCACAAAAGGTTAAAAATGAATTGAATGAGTGGTTTTATGTGTGCAATGACCAGGGTAGTCAATAGAATGAACTCAATTGATATGTTTCTATGGAAACAAAATATGATTTTCGGTATGTATGACATGTCACAATAGAGGGATCCACTACAGGAGGAGTTAAAATTAATTAATACTTTTAATGATCATATAGTAACCAATCGTTTCACTTGTTTTCTGTTTGTTTCCATGACGACTTTAGAATAATATATAAAACGGAATCTAGATACTGGTGCGTCATAAATCATACAGCACCCTAACGAGTAACATATGGAAATTAACACGGTTGCTATTTTATTCTTTGGAATTTAATTTCTTTCTAAGGTAAGAAATCTATACACACACTTTCGATAAATATTCAACTGGAAAAGATAGCGGTTCTTAGTTTTACACTTGATTTGATGAAATATGACACGTATAAACTTGATTATTTATTTTGTTGTATAGTATCATGACTCGATAGTGTTTACAAAAGCTCGGTAGAGTAAGCAGGGAATTTACTACAAATCTCGTTCCCACGTGACCGTTTAAAAATATTCAACCTATCACAGAATTCTCATAAGTGTCATTATATATATCCTAAAATTTAGCAACCTTGTTTTAAAGAGAAAATCTATATTTACTAACAATGATTTAGAAATAAGTTTCAAATAAAAACGAATCCATTATTATTGTATAGTACTTAATGACAAACCTTAAAGAACAGGTACTACTGATACCGTTTACATAAACATATTTGTTTATTGTAGGATATGGAAGGTTACAGATGTGACGTTTGCGGGAAAAGGTTTGCAAGGGAGGATAATCTTGCACAGCACAGAAAAAAGCATAATCTGTCTCAATGTCCAGATTGTCCTCAAGCCTTTACAACAGAGAATAATTTAGAATTACATCGCTATCACCGTCATGGTCAATCTGGAAGCGGGAAAAAGAGAACAAACGAATCTCCTCAATCCGGACCTTCAATGAAAAGACGAATTACCAAGATGGATGACCCTACAGAAAACTACAGAGTTACTCCTCTTGGTGAACAAAAAATGCGGAAATTTAACACCACGGCAAACAGATATCGAGTGCACTTTCAAGACCTGGAAATCAGGAATCTACCTAATATTTTACAAAGTCTGCGTCGCCTCTTTTCCTCGATGATTAAAGATTTGACAGGTATAAATACTTTCACTGACCATGGGTATTGCACTGGTAAAATAAATTTATGAAACAACTTATTTTTAAACACCCTTGAACAAAGTTGGACAATAAAACATGTCTTCTCATCCAACATTTGTTATAGATGTCTCCCGTTTAAATAAATGCATCAGGTAAAATTTCTAGAGATGTTTTTTAAAACAGGATTCATGGACTCCAGAGACTTAATCGCTTAACTGTGCATTGTCCAGAGCTGGATTACCCCATAAGTTTACCCTTCATGCGGGTTGCGCAGCTATCGGCGGATCGTCTTCTCACCGAAACAGAGCGTGTGCTGCAGTCTTATGAAGAATTTGTCGTAGATCAGTCATTAGAAATTGAACTGATCCATGTCAAACTGCCCTCTGGAAAAGGACATAAAAAGAAAAGCTGCGTTGACCTTGAAAAGTCGCTGAAAGAAAAGAGAAGCTTCATCAAGATTATCAATAGAGACCATTTATGTTGTGCAAGAGCCATTGTGACGGCCAAAGCTAGAATTGACAACCATCCAAAATGGAATTCGATACGAACAGGTTTGACCTTATATAATACGTGGTATTCATTTGAAGAGAAAAGATATCCATCGTATTTCATATGTTATGTTTTTCTGACATGTCTTATTATTTACCACTTGTTCATAAAATGAAATGTGCATCCTGAACTGTCTTCTCCTATGCATCAGGTTTAAGTATACAGAGAACCCTGGCCGAAGACTTGCACAAAATTGTCAATGTGCCTTTACGGCAGTGCGATTTGGATGACGTGAAGGCCTTTCAGTTGACGTTGCCTGGATACCAGATCCACGTTGTCTCTAAAGATTGTTTCAATGCCATCGTGTACCAAGGCCCAGATGCAGAGAAGAAGATCTACTTGTATCATCACAACAATCATTATGATGTAATCACTACGATGTCGGGGTTCTTAAACAGAAATTATTTCTGTCAGAAATGTCAGAAAGGATTTAACACTAAAGAAAAGCATATCTGCAATGAACCATGCTATCTATGCCACAAATGCCATGACGACCAATCAGAAGACTGGCAGTATTGTTCCACATGCAATCGTCATTTCAAGAACACGACCTGTTTCCAGCTTCACGCTGAACTGTCGTCTCAAGGCAATTCCACGTGTCATACGTATTATCGTTGTAGTCAGTGTTCTACCACAGTGAACAAAAACAAATCGAAGCAACCGCACGTGTGTGGAAACAAATACTGTGACACTTGTAAAATGTTCATGTCCAAAGATCACGTGTGTTATATGAAAACCACGGCAGAGGAGGAAGCAACCAAGCTGTTGAAAAGAAAAAGAAAGAAAAGGGTCGATGAAGATGACGATGTGAAAAAATGGATCTTCTTTTACTTTGAATGCACGCAAGACGAGATGATTCATTGCAACGACGGCTACCAACCACAACAGCAAATCGTATGTGGAAATTGCAACCAATCTGACTGCCATACAAATCCTTGCCAACAAGGATACATTCCGAAAAAGACGACAGTTTGCAAAAATTGTCATAAACCATCCTGTGGTTCCTTCCGACACGTTCCCAATCTATGTGTCGTACATAAGGTGTGCGAAGAGAATGCATTGACGAAGACGAGAAGGACCATCAAAGCTTCTGTGACATATGCCAGTACAAAGAGCGAATATTCAAGGGCCCCAATACACGTGACGATTTCTGTAAATGGTTGTTTTCGGAGGAAAACGAAGAATCGCGTATTTTCTGTCATAACTTTCGAGGGTACGATAGCTTTCCTATCGTTAGCTATATGTACGAAAATGCCATCTTGCCGGAGGTGATCATGAATGGATCGAAATTCATGAGCATAAAGGTGCCTCACCTGAAGATGAAATTCATCGACTCTACGAATTTCATTCCAATGGCTCTCTCTAAAATCCCAAAGGCTTTCAATCTTTCCGAATTGGCCAAAGGATACTTTCCTCATCTCTTCAACAAACGCGAAAATCAACATATCATCCTTGATCGGCTCCCTGACATGAACTACTATAATCCGGAAGGTATGATGCCAGACGATCGTCAAAATTTTATGTTGTGGTATGATGAACATAAGAACGACTCTTTCCATTTCGAAGAAGAGATTACCAAATATTGCCGATCGGACGTGGATATTTTGAGAAGAGGATGTCTGAAATTTAGAATGATTTTCATGCAGATGACATCCAGAAATGGTGAGGAAGGCATTGATCCTTTTGCTCACTGTATTACGATTGCTTCTGCCTGCAACTTGGTGTTTCGGAAATTGTTCTTAGAGGAAAGATCTATAGGTATTATACCACCACAAGGGTATAGACCGATGGACAAACAGTCCTTCAAAGCCATGCAGTGGATAAAATACCATGCTTTTCAAACAAACGTAGAGATTCAACATGCAGGCAATAAGTGAGAGAGGGTGATTGGACCTCTCCCTTACAACCTAGAGACGCCTTTTTCGGCGGTAGAACCGAAGCCTTTAAACTGCATGCCCAGGCAGATGAAGACACCAGTATCAAATACTTTGATGTGACTTCTCTTTATCCCTTCATCAATAAAACGGGCAAGATTCCATTGGGACGTCCCCACATCGTGACCGAAAATTTTAACCTGCTTCAAAAATACGAAGCCCTCATCAAATGCCGCATCCTTCCATCCTTCCATCAAAGCATCTATACATGCCAGTCCTTCCATCGAAAATCAACAATAAGCTCCAGTTTGGCCTCTGTCGAACGTGCATGGAGAAACAAATACAGACCTGTGAGCACAACGATCGGGAAAGGATGATCACTGGAACCTGGGTCACCGACGAGGTCAAAAAAGCCGTAGAAAAGGGTTACGTGATGGATAAGATTTTCGAAGTGTGGCATTTCGATCGCATATCACAATACCATCCACTAACAAAATCGGGCGGAGCATTCACCGACTATGTCAATACATTTCTCAAAATGAAGCAAGAGGCATCCGGTTGGCCAAAATGGTGTCAAACGGAAGCAGACAGATACAAGTACATAGAGGAATATCACCAAAGAGAAGGAATTCGTCTCGAATATGCTAACATCGTATCGAACCCAGGTCTCAGAGCGCTGGCAAAACTGATGCTCAACAGTTTTTGGGGTAAGTTCGGTCAGCGAGAAAACATGCCCAAAACAACATACGTGACCGATCCCTGCGAATATTTCGATATGTTGACTGGCAATCGCCAACAGGTCAAAGACGTCAGCTATGTGTCCGAAGAAATGGTACGACTCCAGTGGGTCTTAGACGATGATTTCGTGGAGTCCAGCGGCCGAACCAACGTCGTCATCGCAGCGTACACTACGGCACAGGCTCGTCTAAAATTATACTCCTGTCTGGAAAAATTAGGCGACCGGACTCTATATGCTGACACAGATTCGGTCATCTTCACCGCACGGACGGGGGAATGGTCGCCGCCTCTGTGTGATTACTTGGGGGACATGACAGACGAGACCCCCGGTAAGAAAATCCTTTCCTTTGTCACCGGTGGACCGAAAAATTATGCGTATACCGCCCAAGACCAAGATGGGAAGATAAGTACCTGTTGCAAAGTTAAAGGCATCACATTGAATTACAAGAACAGTTTGGATATCAACTTTGATACAATCAGAAATATGATCACCTCCAGCGAAGCGTCTGTCGTCACGGTCCGGAACGATTACAAAATTGCCCGAGATTCCAAAACCACAGAAATCATCACCAGAAAGGAAAATAAAGACTACAAACTTGTTTTTGACAAAAGAGTCTTGCAAAGTAGATTGATATCGGTACCATACGGATATTTGAATGTATCATAG